TGAAGACGCTGTGTGTTTCGTTGTGAAAGCGAAACTACTTTGTTTGGTCTTCCAAAAGAGGACGATATCGCTTTGTCATGCCTGGAGCTGATCCGTGCTGGTCGCTGAGGAAATACTTCAACTTCGTGCTGTCGATCGCCGGATCGGCTTTCACCGGGGATGAAGTGGAGTGCAGCCCGGGGTCGTCACATGTGGTTGCCGCAGGCATCACAATATGGTAAGAGACGTAACATTTCCATCACACGCTTGAGGAATTCGGCCAATCACAACGCACTGGATAGCTATCAGATCAGAGCACACCTCGCTTTTTCAGACCGATGAGCTTTGTAAAAATCGGCGCGTTTCAGAAAGGTGGGGCATAGAGGAGAAACAATAATGTACAGTATGTGGAAAATAATGTTTTTTTAACCTTAAACCGCATAAACACATTTCATTGCACCAAATACACAAAATAATGTTCTTTTTAGCAGCATCATATGACCCCTTTAAAGCGAAACTGAAAGCAAACGCTGTTGTTCTCACGCAGCCTTCCTCTCTCATTCGGCATGAATCCAAATATTTCCATATTCGCGATGTATTTGAATGCTAATCTATTTTTATTTTGTAAACCATGCTTTGTACTTAACACAACTTTTTTTTAATTCATCAGTGTATCTAGTGTGTCTATATGTTTGGTTGACTGTACTTTATTCTGATAATGAACAGGCTGCAACGTTTGCAATGCTGTATGTGTGTGCATGAGGCGCCGGTGCGATCGAACAGCGGAAACATACTCCGTAATTTTTGGTCATACAGATCATTCGAAACTGCAATGTGTTTACATTTTATTTTAGGATGCACTTTCTGTCATCTCGGTTTTCTTTCGCTGTTGTGTGCACTACAACAGATTGGTGACAGGGGGTCACACATTGCACAACTTTTCAATAGGAAGAATCGGCAACAATTTTGTGTAGTCTACAAACTAAATTTTCACAACCAAACATATGCAATAAGTGATGCAGGAAATAATGTAAGATCATGTGTGGGACAGGAGTTCTTGCACGAGAATGGATTTCTTCCTGTTAGAAATTGAAGCCCGCCAGAAGTTTGCAATACAAGTTGTCTGTATTGCAGACAAGAGGAATAGGAACGAGGGATGGTTGCTTGCAGAAGCCATGCATGCTAATGTTTTGTTGCAGATCTATGACTCCACCCCCTTACCATGTACATTGCTCTCTCATTGGCTGTAGGTCGTCTCGCCGGTGTCCTTTTCAGTTAAAACACATTTCAAACTGGGGCTAATTAGCATCAAACAAACAATATAATTCATATTCTCAAGGATTAAAGATTAAACGGAAAAAAATTTAAATGATTGCACAACCATCAATTAGGTGGCGATATGCACTAAGCATGTAAACGACCATTCAACATAAGAAGAAGAAAGAAACAGCATGGCGCGCTTTTTCTTAGCGTCCGTTTCCATAGTGACTCGTCGATTCATCGCTCTGTTGAGAATGTCTTGAGTCTTAACCAGGAACATACTCTGAGTTGAATGAACTTACTTTCTGAAAAATGAAAGTCATATACACCTAGGATGCCTCGCGGCTAATTTTCATTTTTTGGGTGAACTAACTTAACATTTAAGATTTAATATCAATTTTGCACCCGCAATTAATGTTGAAAAAATATTAAAATTTCAACAAACCACCATTATTGTGATCAGTGTGTGCTTATCTGAAGTCGTTCAAAATGTTAAAGTCGATCTTTCATTACTGTTGTAAATGTTCTGTTTCACAAATGTAAAGATACTGTAGCAAAATATACAGAAATATTTAGACATCTACACTTATCATACAAACCTCAACAATGGTGACAATCATGAAACTAATTCAGATAAACAGATCAACTGCAACTGCAATGCCGGGAATCATGAATGAGTTTTGTACTGTTGATAGCCAGCATGCATTTCAGCATAAAATTGTCTTTTGTTGATTGTCACCATTGTTGAGTTTCACACACTGATTCTTGATGTCTAATTGATTCAGCAGTTTAATGATTTTTTTTATTTTTATAGAATTTTCTGTTAATTCACAGAAGTATGAAAGCCGTACCACTGTTTTAATCTCGCACTGTAGTATCACAAATGTTTCACACATAAAAAAAAACATAACACACTTGTGAGCAGTTATTTAAATAACCTCAAAATGATTATGGTCACCAAAACCTGATCCCAAAGGATCTTAGTTTTCATTGCCTCAACAAATGTATTTTAGTACATTGCTGCAAGTGACAATGAAAATCCAACATTAAAGTGCAACGAGTCAAGAGCCCAACTAAAGTAAACGCAATTAACATTGACAAATCAACAATTTTTAACATTGATTCAATGGTTGCTTGCTATCAGGGATAGTACGTCCTTCTTCTTTTGTTTAATGGCGATTTACATAGCCTACTTAGTGCACATCGCCACCTATTTGGTGGTTGTGCAATCATTTTTTAATCTTTGTGTTTAATATTTCATCTTTAATTACTGATAATAAGAATTATATTGTTTGTTTGATGCTAATTATATAATAAGACATATCAAATATATATTTCATCCTAGGACAACATTATAGCATATGCTACAAAAGGAAAATTTTTTCCATTGTAATGTAGATCCATGATGTGTGAGATGACAATAAAACAATAAATATATTATAATTAAATATTTAAACATTACCTTTTTATAATCATGCTTTATAATTAATATATATCAATACAACTAGATAGAATACCCTACTTTCTGGAATACCCCCCAGGACTCTGAGTCGCTGACAGGTCCAGATATTTAGCATGCTAAATATCTCACAGGCATCAGCGACGCATCAGCGCTTTTCTCAGATCGCATCTTTGATAATACGCACTACACGATTGTAACACATGTGAACAAATATCAATTTGCCTCTGATTTCGGGCATTTGTCAGCGATTTCAACAAAACTGTTGCCGATTGAAAATTGGGGCTAAAATTGTGGAGTGTGTGCCCGGCGTAAGGCTGTGGCTGGAAGTCAGTTGTAGTTGCTGTGTTTCTCTTTTTTCTGTTCCTGTTGTTTCTCTTTCCTTCTGTTTGTTAACAACAGGTTCATCACTAATGCTGAACAATTTCTTAATTAATCACTTATTTATATCATTAACACTACTTCAGTGTTACTTTTAACATTCAGTAGTGTTCATTTTTTGATGAACCCATGTGGGGACGCCATGGAAACTGAGGACAAAACTCCCAGCCAGTAAACCCATGTGGGGGCCAGATGTCTGTCTATGTACACAAGTTTTATTGAGAATTACAGAGGTTTAGATGTTGATGTTTTATTGAAAGTTATATTTGTCATCATTATGGAGAAGTGTTTGTGGTTTGCTGGAGAGTGGTTGTTTTAGTTGGGCAGTTGGCCCTTAAAATTTTGACATTACTTTTTCTTTGACTGCTTTAACTGTGTTCGTTATGGCAAGACAAGCAAAAGAAACTGTGATAATGAAGACAATCTTCATGCAATAGTCTGATTTTAAAGCCTAATACCTAAGGATATAAATGATGTGTTAATAATTTAACATTAATAACCCTTGACATTCGACAGTGCTGAAGAATATTAAAATACATTTTAAGAAAAATGCTTTGTGCTCCAGCATCATATAAACACACACAGACAAAGATCTGTGTATGAATCTCAACAACGGTGACATGATTTATGCTGCAGAGCATTCTGGGTGCAGCATGCAAAAGTCATTTATGGCTCCCAGCATGATATTTCAATAAAACATCAATATCTGAACCTCTGTAATTCTTAATTAGAACTTTTGTAGACATCTGACAAAAATAAAGTTAATCTGGATAGTAATGCATGAAGCTGGTAATGCTGTTTGTGGAATTGTTTAATCGTCCTCTGCTGAGATCTTGAGAGATTTAATGTCTTTTATTTGCAGTTGTTTTGCAGGCTGTGGCTGGAAGTCAATAGTGGTTGTGTTTCTCATCTATTTTTTTCTTGCGCAGGCATTCGTCACCAATGCTCAATCAATACTCGATTAATCACTTAATTATCTAATGAACTGCAATGCTGCTTCAGTCTTATTTTTAGCACTTCGTTGTATGCATACTGAGCAGTTTTCATTTCATTAATTAATCTGGGCTGACCTATGTGGGGCCCTCATGGAAACTGAGGACAAAACTGGTTGGGTCCCAGTTAGATAGCCCAGGTGCCACCCATCTGGGCCCCACATGAGTTTGCTGGCTGGGTTGCAGAGTTTTTTTCTCGACAGGTAAGCTAAACTTAAGTCTTTGCCACATCCCCAGATAAAATAGTAAGATATTGTAAAGATAAGAATACTTGCAAGGGTGTGTTGAGTGTAAGGGGCATTTTCAAAGGTTGTTTAAAAATATAAACATTTAAACAGTGGCTGTAATAAAAAATACAGGTTTATTTAACCATGCATTAAATAATGAAGACAGAAGGTTAAAATATATAAGTAAAATTATAACGAACATGTAATTCACTACAAATAATGTTTAGTTAATTTTTGTTCACGCATTATATGAAAACAGCACAGACTAAGACATCTGAATTTAGCAAAATGAAGATTGATTAAAAAATGATACATCAATATTGTCGACCCAGCCCTTTGGCCAATGATTTGGTTGTGGTTTTTACCATTTTATTTATACATTTAAAATTGTCTTACACTACATACCTTGTGCACTGTACCTGATATATCAGCTGATCCTTCATATCCCATTCATATCCCACAGAAATATTAGACTTAACCATATTTATACTGAGGAGCTCCCACTCTCCCTGGGCCTGAAAGGTCTGCTTCGACTCGTGTGTTACCCACTCTGAATCTGCGAATGTTAGAACTTTAAGCTCCTCAACTGTGGGAACAGACACAATAATTATATTAATTTATATTAACTCAAACAGTTTATTAGAAGTAACCATGTTTGTTTGTCAACCCTGATTCATGGATTTCTGATGTACTTGAATATGCTGAAGATTGAAGCGTCAGATTGCAGCTGTGGATGTCGAATGGAAACTTGTGCAGGTCCATCTTACAGGCTGTAGTCAGAACTAAAATGTCCGACAAGACTGTAAAGGCATAACTGTAGAACTGCACATATGGAGACTCCTTTGTTCCAAAATCTGTCTTGATGCTAAATGGACAAAACAAAACATTGATGATTGGAGACAACAGGTACACAAAACGAATCAAAGTAACCTGTACAGACTACTGAAATACAAAAAGTTCTGTCATGAAACTCTAAGCTGATAGGTCCTTAACTCAATCTACTAGTAATCACATTGTTATCTACATGGTGCTTGATTTCTGTTGCATTAACATCCAATGAGCCTGCTGCTCAACATTCAAATACTTGACCAGTGTTTGCTGTAGCAGTTTGCAGCACGCTTTCAGAAAGCTTCTGATATCAACATCTAAGATAAGTGAACCCTCTTTTACTCCATATCAATGCACATATTACATGGATTGCCTTATTGATTCCTAAATGAGAAATCATAAACAAGTTTTAAACTAAGCTTTTAAGTTTTAAACTTACATTTGATGCAGGAATGAATGACTAAAGAATGAATGTGGCTTTAAAATCCATCAGGGCAAAATGAAATGCATGGTGCAGATAAGCACAGTGCAACATTACTTCTGGTGAGACGCAAGAGGAGCCCAGCCTGGAGACACCCCACAGTGCCCAGAAACTCCAAGCGCAAAACTCTTTGGCTCCAGGTAAAGTAGTTCAGAATCATCTGATCAAGTGGCCTGCGGCAAACCAGTATAGAGCATGGCACCAGTTCAACTAAGATGTGGCAAGAATCATTAACACCACAGCAAAGGGAGATGTAGATAAATGGCTTGAGATGGTGACCACCATCATTGTCAATTTTGCAACAGAGAGGTTTGGCATTGAAGAGTGCAAGAATAGCAGACCAAAATACACCATGAACCGAAGGGCAGACAAGATCCACCAGCTGCGGCAAGAGCTTCGCACTTTGGGCAAGACAGTTCAAGGTACAAACTTAGGAGGAGAAACCACCACTAGTCAAGCTCCGGTATAGCTTTAGGAAGAAGCTTGTGACCCTGTGCAGAACAGAGTGGGACAGAAGGTGGAGAGAGAGCAAGGAAGCAAGCCGCGTTTATGGCCAGTCCCTTCAGGTTCACAAAACAGCTTTTGGAGTAGAAGCAAAGTGGACATCTGACTTGTTCCAAGGAGGAAGTAGATTGTTACCTGCACAACACCCTGAGTTAGCCTAAAAGGGAGCAAGAGCTAAGCCCCTCAGAGCCCTGTTGGATGTACCAACTCCCATGGTGGATTTCACTGTGGATACTCCAGGGCCTGGAAAAAGTCCTATACTAGGCAAGGATAAGTTTTAAGCCTGCCAAGTCAAGATCCATGGTGCTGAAAAAGGGGAAAGTAATAGACAAATTCCGCTTCAAGTTTGGTGGGATTCAGGGTCGGAAATTAACGGGGGCGCATGGCAAAAATGCCACCAAAATGAATAAAAATACCCCATAAATTCAAGATAAAGGGGCAAAAATTGCATTGTAAACAACAAAAAGGGGCAGCTTAAACAACACAGTGTAGATACAATGTAAATAAAAGATTCATTTCGTAACTTCAGTGATTATGTAAATAAAAGATTCGGCGGCAGCAGCTACGCTAATTATGTCTCTATTTGTTTCTCTGTTTTTGCCACGGGATTGACATCCCTTGGTAACTAGGATTTACACAAGCTTCAGTCTGGATCCAGAACACCTGAGAAGAGATGATGCCAAACCCTCAGAGGACCTCAGATGATGCCAACCCTGAAACAACATACAGAACTACCAAATTTTGCTAGTTTGAATGCATCATATAATAATTTCTGTTAATAGTGTTCATCATCTGTTTGATTACGTCTTTAATTGATTTTCCGTACATTTCTGCCATATGTACATTAACTGACAGTCACCACAGATAAGCTACCACTAAATATTGTAGAAACTTAATTTGCTGTAAAGTTGCTTTGCAACTATTTGTATCGTGAAAAGCGCTATACAAATAAACTTGAATTGAATTGAATTGAATTGAATTATAACGGGAGTTTTTGCATAACTTGCGCTAGACTGTTTGTCTACATGTTTGTCTGTGAAACCAGAGCCAGAATATATGACAAGCCATTACCCAAAAAAGCAAAAAATTGCAAAAATTGCCCCTTAATGGAAAAGTTAATTTCTGACCCTGGTGGGATTGTAATCTACTCCAAGATGGCGCCGCGTATGGCCACCTCGGTGTGGGGCTCTCCAGTTGTTTTAATGTTTTTGTTAGTTTTTCCTGTCTGTTGTTTTTCAAACACAAGTTTTACCAGGGATGAACTGCTGAACATTCGGCAGTACACATCACACAATCTTCTACCGGTTGTTGATTACTTGGACATTTTGCTGAACATTGTAGTCGGCGGAGCAGCAGCGCTGTTCAAACGTTTTAAGATGTGCAAGCGTGTTTACATTCCTCCGCAAGAGTGTGTGAATGCAGCGTTACAACGGCTGGCTGATGAGATCGCAGACACAGAACAACAACACCCAGACTCTATTATAATCATTCTTGGTGACTTTAATAAAGCAAGTCTCTCCAGTGAACTGCCAAAATACATACAGCATGTTACATGTCCTACAAGAGACTATAATATACTGGACCACTGTTACACCACAATAGAAGATGCATATCATCAGAGGTGGAAAGAGTACGAAAATATTCTACTCAAGTAAAAGTACCATTACATTAATGAAATGTTACTTAAGTACAAGCAAAAGTACCAGTCTAAAAATCTACTCAAGTAAAAGTAAAAATAGCTAATTTAAAATTTAATTCTTAAAGTAAGAATTACTTGGTTACATTTTAATAGTGGGAGGGAGGCAAAAATGGGATAGACCAAGGGTGTCAAACTCAGTTTCTGGAGGGCCACAGCCCTGCACAGTTTAGATATAACCCTAATTAAACACATCTGATCCAGCTAATCTAATCATTTAGGCTTATTTGAAAACTACATGGTATGTGTGTTGGAGCAGGGTTGGAACTAAACTCTGCAGGGCTTCTGCCCTCCAGGAACTGAGCTTGAAACTTGATGCTCAGTGACGCAAAACTGTGCTATGGTGGCTGTGTTTGGAATTATTTTTGTTGTAGAAATAGAGCAAAAACCGGCAATGTGGTGTCTAAAACGCAAGTCTCTTAATTAACTGTTGTAAATCTATATGTAATCATGCTGATTTTTGGAGGAAAAAACGGCATTCTTCGTGTGATATTGACTTACTATATGAAATGATATAAATATATACATTTTCTGCCCCTATATCTTCAATTTTGTGATCATTCTAAATGCATTTTAACAGACTGAATCACGCAATGAAAGAACGCAGTCTAAATGCGCGTGTGCACTAGTCTAATCTACTAGACTTCACAGCACTCTGTAGGAGTGTTTTGTTTGGTTTTTGGCAAAATACTGATAATGTCAAATCGCACATCGTTAAAACAACAATTACGAAAT